CTCTGAGCGATCATGGTATTTTTGGTAAACTATTGGAGTTTTTAGCAATTGCAAGTTGAGAAACAAGACCATACAAATAGCAACCAGAGAGCGATTTATCTTTATCTACAAGCGCGGCTATTGCCAAAAACATCTAAACATTTTGGGGAAAGAGGCGAGGGGCACAAGGACGATGCCGCGAAAAATAACCCTTTTATCCATAAGTGGATCAAAGGGTCTTTCGTCTCCCTTCCAACGGTATAGGCACCAGTGCTGCAAAAGCTCGGATCTAAAGCTAAAATTAAACTAAAGCCTAAAGTAACTCTAATTAAAGTGACTCTAAGTGGGAGTGTTACAACTCTATTCCTAGTTTTTGCATAGTTCCAGAGTAGAAGAGGACTCTTCCCCCCTCTGCCTCCCCCCTCCTCCGCCTCCGGGAGTCCGTCCTGGATCCACCTATGCTTTTATCCGCATAAATTTTCAAAATGCAACAAAATGTCATGAGTTTGAAAGAGCGCCCTCAAATGCAACTTTCACTTTGCATTTCACAGTGTCTCGGAAAGGGACAATTTTGCGGCAAATAGCAATAAATTCAAAAGTGGCGGTGGTGTCCTTTTCATTCCAAGGGCATTGCCGCCAGTCGCAACGCTAAATTCAAGGACATCCAACTGACGGTAATACTAAAGAGGAAACTATCTTGCAAACGACACGTATAAGCAGAAAAAGTTAAAAGTTAATACGCCCATGTCTTTCTAATTAAAAAAAAAAAAGTACATTCTTTCCCAAACAGAATTTTCTCGATTTTTGTTTTCTCAGATGCTAAAAAAGTAAAATTTTTGGGCAATCGATGCAAGGGCCGCATGTTAGTTGAAGTTATCCGGCTGGTTTCATTCCCGGGAGGGGGAGCAGTGTTTCTTCAAATATTATCTTAACTGAGCCAAATTACTTGCTGCTGGCAGTGCTATAAGACTCGGATCGACTGCCAAAACACCTCACTTTGACGATTTTCTGACTCACTTCAGCGGTAGATTAGTACTGT